ACCTGGAGCTGCTGGAGAGAGTCCAGAGGAGGCCACGGAGATGCTCCGAGGGCTGGAGCCCCTCTGCTCTGGAGCCAGGCTGGGACAGCTGGGGGGGTTCACCTGGAGAAGAGAAGGATCCAGGGAGACCTGAGAGCCCCTTCCAGGGCCTAAAGGGGCTCCAGGAGAGCTGGAGAGGGACTTGGGACAAGGGATGGAGGGACAGGACAAGGGGAATGGCTTCCCACTGGCAGAGGGCAGGATTAGATGGGAAATTGGGAAGGAATTGGTGTCTGTGAGGGTGGTGAGGCCCTGGCACAGAGAAGCTGTGGCTGCCCCTGGATCCCTGGAAGTGTCCAAGGTCAGGTTGGATGGGCCTTGGAGCAACCTGGTCTAGTGGAAGGTGTCCCTGCCCATGGCAGGGGGGTGGCACTGGATGATCACTGAGATCCTATCCGACTCAAATCATCCTGTGATTCCACGACTCTATGGAAAGACCTTTAAGACCCTCACATCCAACCATTTGCAAAGCCCCTCTGCAAAGGGACTGTACCAATTCTGTAGAGGTCAAACGTTGGTTTTTTCTTCCTTTTGCGAGAATAAACACAACCAGGTGTGATTTAGGCAAAGGGAATGCATTTTACTAAGAAAATAGAAGACCGGAACACACATTTCAATAAGAGTTACAACGTTATAAAGGAGGAAAAAAAAAACAAACCATAACCAATCCACATTTACATAATTTTAGTTTCAGCTGAGCAATGACCCTCCCAGGCACAGCCAACCCTGCACAGATCAGGCAAGAACTGTTCTCACAAGCTCCCCAGCAGATTTATGTTGCGTTGTGTAAGGTAGATATGTGCAAGACAGAAACAAATGCAGGTTATTTTGCTGTTTTACTGAACAAACCAGCCACCTTGCTACCTCTGCGCAGTCCTAGAAGTGGTTTTTTTGTTTCTGTTAGAGCGGAACCACCCGAAGGATGGGTGAGCCAGAGTCAGTGGCACTCGGAGAGCTGAGTTTGGGGGGGTATCAACACCCACCGTGGGGTTCCTGCACCACGAGCACAACACCTGATGCCAGAGGACTTGTAGCCGTGGTCCCCCGTGCCACTTGGGATGCAGCCACGAGGGAGCATCGTCTCCATCACCATCATCACCACGGGGAGCTGCGATGCGGGCAGCCAGGGGAGGATGCAGGGGTGAGTCCTGATGGTTTCTGGTGCCATGGTGATGTGTACTCCAGGCAGGCAGGTCGGTCAAGGCAGGTCCACACGGGATTAGATGCCCCTTGGCCAGCAGCAGCCGAGTTACTCTGCTCAGATTCAGCTGCCCAGAGGTTTGCTCTGTGTTTCCTCCCCTGCTCCAGTGCTCAGTGTAACACCAGCCCCTGCCTGTTACATATGGCTGTTATAGAATGGGACAGCAGAACACACCATCCTAAAAAGAGTCCAAAAGCAACAGTGGTTTTCTCCAGTTCAGGAATAGCACACTTGCAGCTGAGGCAGGAGTCCAAAGTGTTCTCACAGTCTGATCTGAGAGTCTCGCAGATAACTTTTATCCAGCGGGCTCGGAGGAGTTCGAATCCGCACCTCTGAGGTCAAGAGGACCCAGAGCAAATGAACAACAGCTCAGGGTTGGCTCAAGGCCCAGAGTCAGCTGAACTAAAACGCACAGCTGGAGCTGTGCAATAGTGATCCCCACTCTCCCACACAGGGCTCCTAATGAGAAACTAAAAGGTGTGTCATTCATCTCTGCAGTTACTACCAGAAGCAGCGCGACAGAGAGTTACTTTATCCCCACTTTTTGTAAAACAGAGTGCTGGAAACAACAGTTACAGAGAAGGAGACACGGCGCCCACCGCGGGGAAACCTGTTACACACCACTCTGCACAGTAAAGTGTCGCTCGGCTTTAAGCTTGGGAAACAAACACAACACATCAGGGTGCATCACTGCTCACAAACACAACCGAGGGCTTGTGCCACGAGTTTGGGGTTTCAAACTCTACCAGGTACAATGTTTCTTAGTGGTCGTCTCCTCCTACACCTCATGTTGGCAGAGACTTCGGGAACACACGAACCTTTGTGTCTTTGAACAAAAAACACGTGAATTTTCTTAAAAAAAAAAAAAAAAAAAAAGGCTGCACTCCACCAGCTACCTATAATATCCCCAAAACAGGTTGCTGCCAAGAGGCTTCTTGATTTCAAGGACAAATCCTGGAAAGGACTGACCTTGGTGGGAGTCCCTGATCCTCTCAGAAGGGTTCTGCACACCCCAAAGAGGCTTTTATACCATTTGGAGGGCAAAAAGTCACCAGGGCTGTGCGACGAGCTAGAACACTAGTTATCCCTTAGGTGATGTACTCTTTCAACTTACACTCTGTAACATCACAAAATGCATCCTGGTGACCACAGTTTCCCTTTGCACGCTGTGTAAGAGAAATTTCTGTGTAGATATAGATCAGTAAATACTTTTAAACGAGCCAGCAAACAGAAAAAAAAAAATCAGGCTAAGTTGAATATGAAAAAGACACCGTGGGTTCCTTACTAAGCAGCAAGATTAGCAGCTGTAATTAATTCAGAGGTTAATTGTATCTGAAGAATACAGAAAACTGAAGATGAATTTTTATGTGCCTTTAGAAAAAAAAAATGCAGGAAAAGGTGAAAGGGAGGGCAAAATGGATTTAAAACCGTGAGCTGGCACGTTGCCTGTTGCCAACAGAAAGCAATGGCTGCACATCAAAGGGAAAAATTCCACCACTTCTCTACTGCAATCTACAGAAACCTGGTCAGACAAAGCCCGTGGGAGTAACAGATAAGGTCTGGCTGGTACCACCCAGCTGCCCTAACAGGGACAGCTCAGGGGGACAACACAGCCAGGCCTTCTCTGCTCCCGAGCTCTGACAAGCCCACAGCCCCATGAGGGCTGGGCACTTTCCTAACCGGAGCCTCCAGGTCAGTCAAGGACTGATTTCTCCCTCACCTGTGCTGTTGGGATTTCCAGAAAAATGATGCAGGTGCTCGGGAAAACCCCCACTGCCAGCCAGTTCTCAACAATCCCCCTGGACACCTCACTCCTGCCCCGGGCAAAAACTCCTGCTTTGCCCAGCTCCAGGGTTCTCCTGAGGGCTACATCAACACCCACTGGTTGTGGGCAGTGACTGCACTTCTTTGCCTGATGAAAAATTAATCAGACTGAAGAGGTGGAGGCAGATCTTTTATTTTCTGAGACAGAGTTGTTTTTTAGGGACCGACTGCTCTGCCTCTGTGATCGTTCTCAGCCCGGACATGAGATCAGTGCATTTGGGTATTTTTGTTACTCATCTGCCTGATTAGACTCCTGGCAGAAGGGAGGGAGTGTGTGTTCCCCAGCACACTGGAACCCAGTGATGCAGAACTCCACTGACACACCACAACAGGCCTCAGATAAGAGCTGGATTTTCGGAAGGCAAGAAAACAATCCATACACTAAATAAATAATCTTAAGATCACAAAAATTTTAAATATGATAAAAACCAGGCATAGCAAAAATAGATGAAAAAAAGCACTCTTTTGTAAAAACATCATATTATGTGTGTGTGTGTGTGTGTGTTGGTCTTTATATTACATGTGCAAGTTCCAAACCCCGTGCAACGAAGCACTTTGAGCCCCACCACACAGCCCTTTACCACAGGTTGAACACCACAGTTTCCTCCCCACACCGCTGTTTTCTGTGTTTAAATAATCAGTCTTCTGCCCCCACCTAGGTAAAGCCTCCCCAGAGTTTACTGTTCTTTGTATTTTAATACAATTTTAAACCCGGAGATCAGGCTGAAAGTGCCACAGATCACGTCCAAGGGGGGTGCTGAGACTGTTTTCCCCTGCTCTATTTTGGGCCTATTTGTGGAGACTGCATTTTCCCACATAAATGAAGATATGAGAGAGGTGCTTGCCACGGTTAAACCCTGGGCAAGCTTTACTTTATGTCTTTGGGTTCTGCCCAAAGTGCTACATCTATCTGTTTATTTACTTTTGTCCTTTTTTTTCGTGCCTTGATGCAGCAAACCACAGGACAGCACGTTTATCTTTATTTCTGTTCCTGACATATCGCTGTTCCTGCTGCAGAGAACAGATTCAGGGAAGCCACAGACTGCAGCTATCACAGTGTTTGTCCTTGCCTGCCCATACAGAGTAACAGAGGGCACTTCGGCCCCACACCCATGAAACAAACACCCAGCACACTCTGTAACAAATGTGCAGGGCCTCCCGTTTCAAGGGAAAAAAAAAATCCAGCTTGCAGTTTTTTGTTCTCACACAAGAACTCTGTGACAAACTGAGCCTGTAAATGGAGCGAGGAAGGCGGAGTGATCAGAGCAGATCTTTGCATCTTTTAAGAGTCCAGCGCTCAAACTGACCTGAACACACAGGAAACCTTCGGCCAAACCTGTGTAAATGGGTGTGTTAATAGCTGCCTGTCAACACCTGCTGTTTCAGCCTCGTCAGCTGCCCCTGGAGTGCTTGTTCAAAGTGGTGAGCGAGCCCACTTAGGAGTTTTCGAGTCATAAAAAACATCACACACGAGTCTTTCTGTGAGAACAAGGGAGAAAAACTTAAAAGAAAAAGAACCTGAAAAAAAATTAAAAAAAAAAACAAAGAAAAAAATCCTTTGGTACCTCACCTTGCATAAAATCTCACTGTAAAACCACTAAAAGGTTTCTGGTTATTACTTCAGATCCTGCGCTTACCTGATAAAATCTGTCTTGTGACAGCGTGGCTTTGTTTTTAAAAGCTGTTAAGTGATTATAATATTGTTTTCGGGCTTTCCAAGGATAATTTCAGCTAGCTCGCATTTTTCCTGAGAACAGATTACAACACGGTGATGAAAACAAAAAAAAAAAGCACACTTTGCTGCAGATTCCAGAGGAATGCTGCTCAAGGAAAGGGAGCAGACAACGCCACCAAGAAGCCTGGACACGGGCACCTTTAAACATCAAACAAAGCCCACTGGACTGTTAAATTTACCTTGAAGCATCCGGGTTTGTTGTTTTTTTTTTTTTGACAAGTGCTCTCTGTTGATGTCACGGCGTGACAACACTGGGGCAACGAGAAGACTGATTATTAAAGGCAGAAATAAATCACTCGGGGGATCAGCAGTGAGGAGGGAGAGCTGTGAGCTCGCCGTCAAACGCGTTTAGCTGAAACATCATTAATGGAATTCTTCGGTGTGGCGCCGGCCCTAAGCTAGAAATGCATTGTCATCATTCAAATTCATTTTGGAGGGCTCTCTCTCATCCCCCGTGGCAGGGTGCCATCATCCATACAGTTTAACAGGTGAAAAATGGGAGGGGGGGGAAAAGGGGGGAGCGGGGAGAAATCAACATCGAGTGGAAAAAACAGAGTTAAAGGGAGGGGAGGGGAGCGGGGAGGGGGGAAAAAGACAACGAAACGAGTGAAAATAATAAATTACAGATTATGATTTGAGTTGGTCTGAAAAAGGGATCCCTGCAGAGTAGAAGATGCTGCCTGAGGAGTGCGACGCGGCGGTGCCTCAGTGGACCTTGGACTCGGGCCAGTCGTACACGTCTGGCATGAAGGACTCGTACTCGTAGCTCCAGACCTTGGAGCGGATGTAGCGGTTCTTGTCCTCGGGCTCGGGGTAGTGGAAGGCCATGTTGTTGGCGTACAAAAACTCCATCACCTGGAAAAGCCAAACCCGCGCCGCTGCAGCGCCCGCGCTGTGCCCAGGGCTCGCACACACCCAGGAAAGAGAAACCTCAAAGCCTTTCTACAATTCTTGAATGCCTCGGCAGGGACCTGAAAGCCCGGTTCCGAAACTCAGAGGAGAATCATGGAATCATAGAATCAGCTGGGTTGGAAGGGACCTCCGAGATCATCCAGTCCAACCCTGGATCCAACCCCGCCGTGGTTCCCAGCCCATGGCACTGATGCCACATCCAGTCTTATCTTAAAAACCTCCAAGGATGGAGAATCCACCACTTCCCTGGGCAGCCCATTCCAATGGCTGATCACCCTCTCTGGAAAGAAATTCTTTCTAATATCCAACCTAAACCTCCCCTGGCACAGCTGAAGACCCCGAGCCCCCTTGTCCTACTGCTGGTTGCCTGGGAAAAGAGACCAACCCCCCCCTGGCTCCCCCCTCCTGTCAGGGAGTTGCAGAGAGTGAGGAGGTCTCCCCTGAGCCTCCTCTTCTCCAGGCTGAACAGCCCCAGCTCCCTCAGCCTCTCCTCACAGCACTTGTGCTCCAGTCCCTTCCCCAGCCTCGTTGCTCTCCTCTGGACCTGCTCCAGCCCCTCAATGTCCTTCCTGAGCTGAGGGGCCCAGAACTGGACACAGCACTCCAGGGGTGGCCTCACCAGCGCTGAGTCCAGGGGAAGAATCACATCCTTGGACCTGAAGGATTGCTTTGGCCCACCATCAACAAACTGAGTGTTTTTATGAGCATCTCTCCCCAAAGGCACAAAGAGCTGGGCTGTCTCGTGCCCAAGCACTCGTGTCCCAGGGGTCACACTGTGCAGTACAGGAGGTTAATGCACACACAAACCACCTCTAGTGCAGCCCACTCTCACGCTTCATACTCACCTTGACAGCAATATAAATAGAAACTTCCCTGATATTGGACAGTGGGGGGTAAAGTCTTCCCTGTGCGAGTTCTTCATCACTCAACTGTTCCGCCAGTGCCTGAGTTAGAAGAACAAACCAGCTTCATTTACTGCATCCCAAATGTGACCAACAGCACGCTGTAACACTCAGGAGAATCAAGCTGCAGTGCTCTTACTGCCAGAGTGCCCCCAAAGGCAGTCAAAACCCCCAAATTCTCCATCTGAGCCCACGTCAGCAAACCCTGATGGTTGAGCATTTAGCAAAGTAAGACCCTGGTTCTTTGGAGGACGAGTTCCCTGTAACTGTGGAAGCTACAGGAGCGTGACGTGCCTGCAGAACTGACCACCTCGTGTTTTTGGCAGTTTTTTACCATTGTGGAGGGATAAAACCAAGGGAAATCAAACATCAGACACAGCCTGCTCTGCTTCCACACTCACCTTGGCAGCCTGAAGGAAAACCTTGTCGCTGATGTGCCGGACACTGCTGAGGATCACAGCCAGAGCCACGCCTAAAATGAAATCATCATCATCACTTCACAGCGTGCAGCCTGCTCACGAGAAGCTGGCAGTCATCTAGAGTCATCTAGAACGTTATTTCTGAAAATATTTGCACGGACGCAACTCCAAGAGTTATTAACTCCCAAGAATTGTTAACATAACTTCAAGTGCACATTAACACTTATTCTCTCCTCCTCCCCCTCCCAAAAAAAAAAACCAACCAGGAAAACCCATAATGCAGCAGCTTTCAAAGCCTTTAATGGCACTCTTTTGCTCTCTTAGAAATGCTCAGCTGGGTGAGCTCACTGCGCCACACGTGGAGCTGCACACGCCTAACATCCATCCTGAACTGCTTTTCCTTCATTTTTATGAGTCCTCAGCTTTAACAGACGGCTACATCTCCTCACGCTGCTTCCCTAAACAGCCCTGGTCTTCAAGAGATTGAAAGAAGAGGGGTTTTATCCATCACCTGGGAAAATGTAAGCGTTGTTTCCCTGGCCGGGCTTGAAGGTCCTCCCGTCCTTCAGAGTCACCAGGTCGAAGGGGCTGCCACTGGCAAACAAGCAGCGGCCCTGCGGGACAGAGGGATACCCACACGGTCAGGCAGCTGCTAAAGAGCAATCTGGAAGCAGGAGACAAGCACACAGGTGGAGCTGTGCAGCTCTCTGAGGCAGGGGAGCCATTTATCTGTTTTACCACGCCCTGCTCATTAAGGCAGCAGCGACTTCGAGGAACCTCTCGGGCACAGAATGTTAAAACATTCTGATGTTAAAACATCTCTGAGTGCCAACCACACCCTCTCCGAATAAACGACCTCTTCCTCGAGCACTAAAACCCCCGAAAGGCAAAGCATCTCGACACTGAGTAACAGGTTTAATAACGTCGGTGTAAAACATTTAGGGCTCCCCGGGACCGCGGTGTTTGAGAACAGATTACCAAAGAAGCCAAAGGCTTGGGAGCCGTGTTTAAATGTCAGGGCATACCCATGACATTTCCTCCCTTTTTGAGAAGGGAGGAGAACGTATGGATTTTTAGAGAACAGAACAGAACACACAGAGGCTGAATACAGGTGCCACCTAGTGGAAAAAAAGGAATTAAAGAATAAAAGGTTAGCGATGGTGTATCTTCATATCCTTGCTGACTTCCTTGTTTGGCCTAAGATTTCACAGCAGCCAGGGTCAGGCTGTTCCCAAGGCCAGGACACACACGGGGGGTGACAGCCCTGATTCCTTAACTTGATTAGTTAAGTGACAAAATAAATAAAGTTGGAGATTTGCAGAGAATCACAGAATAGTTTGGGTTGGAAGGGCCCTCTGGAGATCATGTTGTCCATTTTCTAGGTAGTTACTGCATCCTGAAGGGAAAAATATATATTTTGAAGGGCAAACTATGGGTAGACTCAGTACATTTCAGAGAACTGAAAAGAACTATGAAAACAAACAGCAGAAGTGGAGAAAAGGTCAGAGGGACAGAAACATTACCAATTTTATATATAAGGACTGGAACCAAATCACACCTGTTCATTCACTGACCAGTAACATTTAGTTGTCCAAATAACCCATTTCTGTAAAAACTGCAAGCAAAAAATTAGGGTGATTCCCCCTCTAGCCCTGCTGCTGGCCTCCTCCAGCCAGAGGTGCCAGCAGTTTCTACATTTATTCATGCCAGACAAAGTCTTGGCTGCACAACTAACTCTTGTTTACTTGCTGTCCCAGATACTGGAATTTAATTTCGTGCACTGCAATGCTGCCCAACTCACTGTTCTGACTAATGCAGCATATCTGAGAGAGATCAAAACATCTTAATTTAAGAGTTTGTCCAGGGGAGGGAAGGGAGCTGGGGAAGGGTCTGGAGCAGCAGGAGCGGCTGAGGGAGCTGGGGGGGCTCAGCCTGGAGAAAAGGAGGCTCAGGGGGGACCTTCTGGCTCTCTGCAGCTCCCTGATGGATCCGGGGGGGAATTGGGCTCTGCTCCCAGGGAACAAGGCACAGGAGGAGAGGAAAAGGCCTCAAGTTGTGCCAGAGGAGGTTTAGATTGGATATTGGGGAGAATTCCTTCATGGAAAGGGCTGTCCAGCCCTGGCACAGCTGCCCAGGGTGGAGTCCCCATCCCTGGAGGGATTTAAAAGCCTTGTGGATGTGGCACTTGGGAACATGGGTTAGTGGTGGCCTTGGCAGTGCTGGGGAATGGTTGGACTCCGTGGTATTGGAGTTCTTTTCCAACCTGAGAATTCTGTGATTCTGCTGCTGGAAGATCCAGATTTTGTCCAGGGGCTGTTATTCCAGAGCTCACTCTGGCTTGCAAAAATCTCTGTAGCAGGAGTTCCCTCTGAACTGACATGGAAGAGAATCTGGGTGTCAAATGGAGACATGGAATTCTGCCCTTCCCGGTGTGACACTGACACTGCTGGGGCTGCAATGCTGGAAACTGAGCCACACCAGCAGAGGAAGAAGGAAGGAGTTTGCAGTTTCTCATCAAGACACAAGGAAAGAGCTCCACCCACCGATTTTCACACATGAGTCACCTGATTTGGGATCGTATTTAAAAAAAAAGAAAAGAAAAGAAAAGAAAAAAAAGAAGTTCTTTTCAAGAGCCCCAGCCCTGAAGCCTGAGGAGGGATCACAGCCAGCTGCAGCCTGCAGTGAAAAGGAAAGGCACCACCAGCCAGTTCAAAGCCTTACAGCCAGAGCTCTGCCTGCCCCCACCTCCTTCCCCTCGGGCTCCCTTCAGAGATGATTAGTTTTACATAAAAGCTCTGTGCAGAAGGACAGAAGACCTTCTTCTTTAAAGGCAGACCCAAGGTCTGGATGTGCTGTTAAGATAACAACACAGTTACTGAGAAAAAAACCACCCCAAACCCTCAACCTCCAAGCCCCCAAGGCCTTTGAGGCAAAGGTGCAGAGCGAGGTGTGTCTGTGCTTGGCTGGCTCACCTTGACATGTGGTGGTGCCCGTGCACAGGGCACAGATGCTGTGGGAGGGGACAGAGGCCACCACCTGCCCCCGGGGGAGGGCACAGGTCCCCGTGGGTCACCGTGAACGGCACAAGTTCTGACCCGCACGACTGAACTCCTGGACTGATGCAAGGACACCCCACCACCCGCTTTAAGGACTTTACTCAGCCATTACAGCACCTGCTGGTCGTTCTCTTAAAAGGCAGTAAAAAGATTTAGGCTGCTTCAAGCCTTGCAAAACGTCATCTGAAGGATCAGGGCCTCTTTTCAAACCACCTCCGTCCACTTTTCGCCAGGAGGCAAAGGACGATCTGTGTTACGATCTGTGTTACTGCAGCAGTAACGAAGCAACCCGAGCTCCTGGCCTCCCGGCAGTGAGCAAACAGTGCTGTCAGCCAGCAGCCCTGAGCATCACACACCTCTGTTAACGTGTATGCCTCCTCTGCCGTGCACTCAGCCTTCACCGTGGGGTTGCTCAGCGCGAATATGATGGGTCGCTCGTTGATGGCAGCCATGGCTTTGATCACCTCGTGGGAGAAGAGCCTCCCAGCCCCTGCCACTCCTGCAGAGGCACACAAAAACAGGATCAGTACCTCAGGGCAGGCTGCAGATGAAGCTCGTGTCACCCCTGGGATCTTCCCAGGGGCTGGAGGTGGAACACAGGCACTGCTGGGGGGCTGCCTGTACCTCGCAGTTTTCACAGGAGCGCCTAATTAATGTGTTCCAAGAGCCTGTTTTACACGATCTTTTGTACTGATGTAAGTGGGAATTACAGGTTCTCCACGGGTGATTCATCCCTGGGTGCTGGCAATGCACACCTGACACCGGTGTTTCTGACCACACCCAAACCCGGAGGTACAAACAGGCTAAAACGGTGTGTGTTTGCACGGTGGCTACAAGCTCCAGGGTAGCTAACTCAGCTAAAAAAACCCCACCTTTTATTTTCCGAGTAGATCTTGTGCAAAGGCAATTGCAGTCACACCGGGAAATACCTGTAATCTTATCTGTTTCCTGCAGGCAGGCACAGCTATAAATAAATACCTACAGGTGCCAGTGACCTGACAGGCATTGGGGTGATCTGCACCAAGGAACTGCTCCTTCAAGCCTTTCTGCCGGCAGAGAAGCTGACTGGGGGAAGGAAGGTCAGGAAAAAAAACACCCCAAACCAACTCGAGTTAGGGGACTGCAGAAAGCACGGTGTTTGTGGCTGCTCTCTGTTACCAAGGTGCAGGAGGAGCACTCGCTCTCCCCGGCACTGAGAGACAACAAGCAGAAAAATCGACCTCGCATTTTCATCTCATTTGCCCCGGCAGAAATGCAGATCGCTGCCACCAGCCTCCCTGGAGCCACGTTAGCAATTCAAAGGGCAGCAAACGACCTAAAATCACAGAAACAATAACCTCACTTACCGATGATGGCTGAAGGCCGGAGCACATTCACCGCCTCTACAAACGTCTTTGGTATCTGCTCTGGAGCCCGGTGTGTGAACGGCTCTTGGTTGGAATCTACCTTGTGTTCTCGGCCCTTTATGGGTGAAACATTGGTTATTTTTGTGAGAAGGACACGGGGAAAACCACTGGCCACCTGCACTGTGGTATTTCAAGGCACGGGCGCAGCCCTACCTGGACCAGCAAACCGTGTTTGTCAAACATCCATATCCTCCCGTAGGCCTCCTCGGCAGAAACACCACTTTCCATCATAGCCATAACAATGAGGTTTGCAATTCCCAGGGCAGCCTTGTGGACATAGAAGGACTCTGGTTTTTAACAAGTCACAAGAGAGGTCTGTCATCACAAACACAGATCCCCACAAGAATCCTTCAGCCCTGAGACACAGCGAACGCCTGCCAAAACGGGGGCAGGCTCCTGGGACAACAGCGACACATCTTCAAGCAAAAAAAAGCAGAGGGGCAGCTTTCCTGCTGTGCTCCTGTGCCTGCACCAGCTCAGGAGCCACAATGAAGCAGCCCAGCCAGGCAGCAAGAACGAGTCAGTGCTGCAGCCTGAAACCACAGAGCAGTGCTCTGTGCCCAGCTCCAAAAACTCCAGGCCTCCCTCTGTTCCTGCTGCCCAAGACAAAGGCCTTGCAGAGGGCAGAGAGGAGATGCTGAGGGCTGAGAGAAGAAAATGCTGGCTGGCACTGCTTCCCCCCCTGCGTCCCTTCTCTTGGCTCGCTGCACATGCTGCTGGGTCTGGCAGGAGAAGCAAGGCAGAGCTCACTGCAACACTGGCCAATTACCGCAATCAGGGCCTTTGGCTAATTAAGTTATTTTGTCAGCGCCACAGAAGCAATTGTGCTGATGTACCAGGAAGCACAGCCAGTGCTTCTCCTGACAGTGCTGCACCAGTAACTGCTGCCTGCTGCAAGCACACACTGACTTCACCTGCTGAGGAAAGCGCTGTGTACTTCTCTCCTGCGCTATTAAAATTAACAAGATGTTCTTAGTAAGCCATAACTTCGTGGTAATTTTCCCTCTGACTACACGCAAGACCCCGATACTTTTTTCAAGCCCGTGCAGGAAAACGAAAAACTTGAGTCCTTGCAAAGGTTAAAACACCTTTCACACAGTCCTGTTTTAAGGCAGTCCCTTCTGCTAATGTATTTCAGCTGGCCTCATATAAAAAGTTCTGCAATGAAACTCAGAGAACAAAAACCTCCACGAGTCCTACGGCATGAGAAAACGCACGGCTCAACCTGTGGTTGCTCCAGAGCCCTCAGGAGAACTCACCTCTCCTGCCCCAAGGAACAGCACTTTCTGCTCTGTAAGTGGTTTACCAGTGGCTTTCTGTGCTGCCAGCAGTCCTGCCAAGGCCACTGAGGCTGTCCCTGTAGAAGCAGTACCAACCTAAGGTGAGCAGAACAGACCTGCGTGGTTTCAGGGCAAAGGCTTCTGCACGTGCATTAAGGAACACAGAGGGTGTACCTTGGATGTCGTCATTGAAGGTGCAGTATTTCTCCCTGTATTTTCTCAAAAAACGGAAAGCGTTGTGGTTTCCAAAGTCTTCAAACTGGATAAGTGTGTTCTGGCCATACCTACAGAACATGGCAAACACTCTTATCTTGTTCTTATCTTATTCTTAGCGCCAGACACAGAAAGAAGAACAACCCATTTAAAAACAAATCCTTCACCTAATCAATTATCTCTGGAAACAGGATGCCCTCAGGCCTTCCACTTCTACAAACAGTCCTGTTTCAGTTCCGTGCCTGTTTAACAAAATAACTACAAGCAGCATGTTCTAGGTCACAGAGAAAAAAATCACTGCAAGGCCAGAAACACAGCCCTGTGTGTTCTGACTTGTTCCTCTCCTTATTCCTTAAGTGACTTGCTTCAAGGGCGGCGTGCTGGGGTCTTTCTGTGCCAGCAGTTCTGGCCACACTTCCCCTGCAGAGAACTCGTTGTCCTTACCTGTCTGTGATGGCTTCCATAAACTCATCAATCAGGTCATCGTAGACCTGCGAGCGATCCCTCTTCTGGTACAGGCCCATGTAAAACGGGTCTTTTAAGAGCGTCTGGAAAAAAAAAAAAAAAAAGGAACAAATCAAAGAGAGCGGCGGGATGAGTCACTTCCTCTGCAGGGTTCACGGGGGCACGTTTCACACCGAAGGTACTGCATTTATACAGCATCCTGTGATTTCGGCTGGCACTCGGGCTCGGTGATGGCTGCTCTTAAAAATGGAACAAATCAATACTGCAGCGAACAGTGAAGTGCTCTAATAAATCTCACTCGCATTTCCAGCTTCTTAAAAGCCAGGTCAAAAGCTGACTGCCTATTTCACAGGCCTGTTTCCAGCACTCCAGTCGCTTCCAAATGCACCGTTTCGGGGGCAGATTAACCGGCACTTTTCAGTCACTGATATGTAACTGCGGAGTGAATTCCACATCACTTACCCTTCACATGAAATATTTGGCTTTGTCTTAAACAGAGGTGCTCAAATAAAAACATCCCCTTGTGGCTCTGAACACTCTTAAATAAACACTTCTCACTTAGGGCAGGCAAAAGTTCAGTCAACTCACCGTGTTATCAGTCCCAACGTCGATGCACACTGGCAAGCATTTATCTGGATGTATTCCTGCACAGGCTGTATACAAACACAGTTTTCCTACTGGAATTCCCATCCCATACACTCCCAGGTCTCCCAGACCCAATATTCTTTCTCCGTCAGTGACGACAACAGCCTGGGGACAGGAAAAAACAAAAGCAAAAAAAGCAGGTGAAATGATATATCATCACCGAAATTTAGAAGGATTAAATCAACACCAGTTGTGGTTTTTTTCCAGGCAAAAACTCAGCTGTGTGTGCACAGTCAAACAAAGAACAGATTACAAGGAATATTTTACTTAAGGCAATGACTTAATTTACTTAAGGCTCAATGTTAGAATCTGCTACGCTCCTTTTTCTTTGCTGGCAGCCACTGCTCAGATCCCTGTGGAAGGACCCACAGGCGAGGATTACAGCCATGTGGAACTGCAGCCTTGTAGCCTGGGTTTAGGATTTCCACTTGCAAATCCAGACACCAATTAAGTTTGCAAAGTATAAGGTGAAGCTCACCTCGCCCTGTGGTTCTCGACCCAGCTGAGTGATACAGAACTTAATGGCAAAATCTGGGCCCTCATCTTGAGGACAAGATCACCTTTGTTTCCACAGTAAGCAAGACCTAGAGGTGCATTCCCCAACTTCATGAAGCAAAATAAAAAATCTGGCAAGCCTGGTTCTCATCATCACTGCCTCCTCAAACCAAAAAACTCACATTTAGAGTAAAACACTGCTTTTCAAGACATGCATTGTCTTCATGAGCTGCGTTTTGCCATCACCGTCAAAGAGACAAGGACGCACTATTTAATATTTACATTTCCATCAAACGCTAATAAATCTTGAAAAAAAACCTAAAATGAGATGAAATGACAGCTAGAAATGAAATTGCACAGCGGCGGTACCTTAACGTCGTTCTCCGGCCAGTTGTTCACAATTGACCTTATGTGGCCTCTGTCTGAGATGGAAATAAATAATCCTCTGGAAGAAAAAAAAGGGAAAAAAAGCAAGCAGAAATATTTCACCTTGCTTTGTAAAACTCAAGCGTCAAACAGGACAATTTCCTTGAAGTTAAAAGTGTTACGATCACCAGTATAAATCATCCGAAGGACAAATGTCTAACACAAAAGTCTGCTTGGCTGCTTTGAAACTCTTAAAGTAAGGACACTTTTCATGGTGCTACCTGGATTTTACACTACTACAGACATTCACCTTTCGGGGTTTATTCATCTCCAGGGCAAAACAGCTCTGGTGTTACCATCAACAGGACAGCACCCTCACTTTCCCCTGCAAGGATATGAGAAGGGAACATGGTCCTAAGCCTGGCTTCACCTTAGTGAAGCTCTACCACGACACTACACGGGGTGAGGGGAGGGGAAAGGAAGTCAAAAGGCCAGGAGGAGAGCTGTGGGAGCCACGGGAATGCAGGAGGGGAGGCAAAGGAGAGAGGTGAAGAGAAGTGTCTGTGCTTCTCCTGCTCAAGCAAGCCCCTTTGTCAGGAGGGAAGGAGGCACAAAAGGGTTGGCAGAGGTGGTTAACAGATAAATCACCAACACTTGGAACAAGCTGGTTGTTGGAAGGAAAGAAAGAGTTCCATCCTGAATTCCAGCCCATGCTGCTGCTCCTTGCACAGACAAGGAACATCTCAGCAAGGTGGGGGACAACTTTCAAGCTGATCTATAATGCACAGAGAGATGTAGAAGAGGGGGGGAGGGAAGTGTGTGAGAACCAAGACACATCTTTCATGTCCCCTGCCCCACATTAGGAGAAAACCCATGAGTTTCTTACTGCCTTTATCCCAGCAGCAGTGAAGGATCAGCCCTCCCTCCACACAGCACTAAAGCCCTCGAGCAACAGGGCTCCAGAAACACACTTAGAGTCGCAGTTGGAAATGAGCTGGAATGGCCGCCAGCCTGAGCTGGTTTCCCCAACACAGAGCCAGCGACACGAATATTTGTTCTGCAGCCACTGCTGAACCCAAACCAGACCCCAGCCAAGTGTGCTTACTGTGTCAGAACAACTGAAAGCTGACTCCTGGCAGCACAGCAGGCACATGATAATAAAATCATAACAAAAGCAGCAGCAGTATACATGGATGCACACATATAGACAGTTCTTACTTTGGTCTCCTGAAGATGTGTCCGTACTGGGAGCAGGCAAGGCCCACTGTTGGTGTGTACACAATTGGCATCAGCCGCTCAATATCATCCTGTAACACCCTGTAGAACAGTTTTTCATTTCTCTCCTGGATGCCCATGATATAGATGTACCTGTAATTAACCAAAACACCACTTACTGTTTCGTATTTAGGCTCGTTTAAAACTACGTGAGAAAAAACAACGAAAGCAAAAAAAAAACTTTCTTCATAAAATTCCTGCTCCTACTCGAGTCAGACTGAGAGCACTGAACAAGAGCTGGAAAAAAGAGAGCAGCAGTCCTAAAATGCTGAAATAAAAACACTGGGTGTGACATACCACGCACGCTAAAAAGTTAAAGCACAAACACACGATGTGGCAAAAGATAACCCCTGGATTTATTGCAGGATGCAGTTGGGAGTCTCATTACTGTTATAAGCAAAATTACCAGTGAAGGAATTTTTCATCCAGAAAACGTTTTAAGGTCCTGACAGTAAGGTCTTGGTAAAGCTAACACACACCTGAAACAATTTGACTCCTAACAGCAAGCTTGTTTTGAAGGACTTACCCAGGTGTGCAAATTAAACCTGAATTTTTGCAAATTTACACACCAATTCACTGTGCATCGATTTAGGTTGGGTCCTGCTGACCCAACAACACAAAGACAATGACTTGGCAGTTTGTCTCGGGCTACAGCCACTGGGCACCTGGCCAATACAGAGGGCACGACTGTTTCAGATCAGCAAGTGACAGGATGTGGGTTTAAGAGCCATCTTTCAGTTTTCACGAGAACAAAAGAGCTTTGATGTGGTCCAGTGAGCCTCAAACCACTCCAGCTCTCCTCTCCCCTCTGGCAGACTGTGTGTTTTTACATGGAGACAGACACTGGGCTTATGTGAGTGCAGCAACAGGGTGCTGAAAACACGCCTTTCTGAAAATAAAACAAATCAAAACCCTTCGCGTTTTGCTCCCCAAACCAGTGGGTGAAACAATAAGAGGAGGATACGGAAAAAACACAAGTGATGAGACTCAAAATTCTAAGCTTGTCATTCCCCCTTAGCAGGAGCTACTGAACGTGTAAAACACTGGTTTTCATGCCTCAAACCCTCAATTTACCTTCATTATTCACATTTTTCCAGCACGTGCCAGCTCCCCCTTCCTCCCCCCCCGGGAGTTCCGTGCTCTGACAACCTGCCACCTAATCTTACACATTACAGAAATACATACTGCGGGTTACAGGAAGGTTTTGCAGCTCTGTTAATAATCTGCACACATTCCTTTCTGTTATCTCACCACCATGGAATATTGGGGGAAAAAAAAAAGAAAAAAAGCCCTCCAACCTCATCCAGCCACATGGTAAAAGCAGCTTCCTGTGCTAAAGTGAAAAATAAACACCCCACCAACCGAAAAACCCAGCGGGGGCACGGGAAACTTTGGTTATCCCCAAGTTATTTCCATTTATATCCTTCTGTTTTATTCTTGTCTCCTGCATTCCCATTTACTCGCGCGACAGGACGAGGCCGGAGGAGCCGCTTACTTCTCCAAGGGGTCGGTCATTTTTGCCAAATTCTTGTGGAACCGTAAGGCTTGGATGTCCTGTGTCTCTATTTTAGGAGGTAGGAGCCCTTGCAGCCCGAGCATCTGCCGCTCGTGTAACGTAAAGGCCATTCCCTGAAAAGGAGAGGTGAGAAATAATTAGCAGCTCTTCCTCTGGTGTTTCTGGGAATACTCTTATCCACAGTGCTTTTTTCTCTCGTGGCAGGTGCCACAGCAGGCAGGGTCAGGGCGTGTTTGCCTCTTCTGGGGTGGGTCACCCAGTCTGGTCCCTACACAGATGCACTTAGCCCAGAGATTTTTATCTTAATTGCTCCATTTGCTGCTTTCTTGTGCATACTTTCACTAATACAGATAGATCCTAAAGTTACTGAGTCGCCCTAATGCTTCTATTAAGGCCACAGCTCAACCCAAATCCTTCGTTTTTGCTTAGGGATGGAACTAATCTACTTGTCCACTACCAAAAAAGCCTCATTTGTAGCAAATCAAGCTTTGGAAGAGCTAAACCGCAAAAAATTTCCCGTTCTCTGTTTCGGGGTGGATGAAGAGTTTTAACTCGTTGTTACTTAAATACTTAATTTGAATTATTTAATGATAACATTCAACAAAACAGGCTTTTTTAGTTAGCACACACAGCAGGCTGCAGGGAGGTACCTGCTGGTGGAGACTGACAGGGACCAGCAGCGAACTCCTGGCTGTAATTTTGGGAAATATTCCCTGATCCAAGCAAGGATTCACAGCCAGCCCTGCCCCAAACTGCTGACCCCGCTTCCCACAACAACTGGCCCCGCTTTTTAAGCCTGCAAATGATGAGCTCTTCCTTATTTCAGCTCGTCCAAGTGGGTCAAGCTCAGCGAGGGATTAAATCGATATCCGCGACAGACCGTGGGGGAGCTGGAAAACCCAGGGAAGCCTCTGCTGTGCCAAGGCTGTGCATCAACCTGTGAGGAAAAGGGGAACCTGGAAGGGAAGGGCTTGCTAATTGCAGTGCTCTGGGAGAGATGGAAAGGAGATGGAAGCAACATTTCCTTTGTTTACTAAAGCAGACATTAAAAAACACAGGGCGCAGACTCTTACTGCCAAAAAAAACCCCAACCAAAACATCCAAAAAAGCTTTCTAAGGTTTGTTTTATGCCTTGTAATTACATTCCAAGTGCCTCTTGCCATCAGTGAAGTCACAGGGAACAACCTGAGCTGGAAGGGATCCACAAGGATCATCGAGGTCCAGCTCCTGAAGGCACAGGGAAAAAAAAATCACTATTTTCCCACTTGATGATAAAAGACATAAATTCAGGTTAGAATATAAATATTTTCACACCTCTGCTTATTTGTGAACAGACTTTCACAGGCATTTGCAGAAAGCATGGCCATTAATGAAAAGTCTCTAATTCAGAATATATTCTTGGTGTAATTAATCACACTTGAGTGGTTTTCTAACCAATACAAATACTCTTCGGGGAAAAAAAAAATCCCATCATTAAAATAATAACTGTTTTTATATAATTATCCTCTCTGCTTATTTAAATCATATTAAATACCAGTTGTTTTGACTGCACTGATTTAAGCAGTCCACCTGCTTTTCTGTACTAATTCTATACTATGTCCTGAAGTAATAAAATTCTTGAAGAGTTAGAAAACAAGGGAAAAAAAAAAAAAGAACAAACCCCCCAGAACTTCCATGTTTCGCAAAAAGCACTTGCAATTACCTTCTTGCAGAAAACAACCTTAAGTTTTTAACCCTAAAATAAATTTGGGGTTTTTTTTTGCATTTATTTGTATTTCTGCCGACCTTCCAGGTAATAGATTTGACACCAAACACTGAATTCAATTTGTCCCTTTTTCTACTGGGTCAGTATCCTTTTTGTACCAGTAGTTACAAGTCATTTGCAAACCATTGTTTTCTTCCAATATAAATAAATTTCAGGTGATGGTTCACTCCTGAACCTTTTCCTCTTTCTGCTGGTTTGTTGGTTTTTTTTGGGTTTTTTTGGGTGGGTGTACCAGTGACTTCGACCACTTCAGTGATATTTTATTTCAGAAAACTTGAATAATCCAGCATTTCCAAATGAGAACACGACCAAGTAAACACCACTGGCAAGAGAAAAAAACCCCACAAACTGAATGCCACTTTTTTTTTTTAATATATATTGCAAAGGATCTTCTTTAGTTTCACTTCTGCATATACTATAAGAAATATTGATTCTGTGAACATAATGCATCTTCCCCTTTTCCTTATATACCCCCTAATTTGCTGCCATCAGCAGCTGGTGCCTTTTTAAAACCACCCTTTCCCGACACAAACTGTCTTTGCAGTGCAAGTGATTCAGGACACGAAGCTGAGCACAGCTGGCAAACATCTGAGACCTGCTGAACTGTTTGCTTCAGACACTGCAAAATACCAAAAAATGATGCCAAAATACTCACAATATTTAGAAGAGGGAGGAGAACAAGAAGTTTAGTCTCAGTGAGGCCACTGAAGTCAATAGTTCAGGGCATGTGAAAGGCCAGGATCCCCTCAGTGGTACCACGCTGGCTACATCATTTTGCTCTAAATGAGTTTAATATCTCACTTGCAAAACCCACTTGCTCCCAGTAAGAAAGCCTCAGGTCCCTCAAAAATAAAGCCTACCCCAATTTTTAATTTCCACTCTCAGCCACGTCACTGGAACGTGGCTTTGCCCTATTTCCCTACAGAGAGAAACCAATGACTTTAAACCCGTGAGGCTGGTGCCAAGCAGAACAGCAACCCACCTTTAATCAGTTTGCTGACATTCTGTTCCTGTCCACAGGCAACCTGGGTTGTCAGTGTATCTGGAGTTACAATAACATCAGGCACGGTGAATTTTTGGGTGGCAATAAGCACTTCCAGCCGTTTATTTACACGGCAGTTACACCTCACCACATTAAAAAGTGCTTTAACTTCTGCCCAGAGCTAACTCGGGAATCAGAATGACATCAGCCTCCACGGAAAAAATGTAATCCTTGTTCCAAGTGGAACAGAACATCAGCCCAGAGCAACAGCACTTGGGGTGTTCCATTCCATTCCATTCCATTCCTTCCAACACCTGCTGTATTCCATTCATTGCCTTTATCCGTGACCATCCTCCTGCTTCGGATTTGGGATTGCGGCTCGCTCCCCACACAGCACCTCAAAGGAGGGAGAATTTCCTTGAACCAGCGTGCCTGGGAGCTGTGGAATTACACATTTCCCATGCTTTTGCCTCCTCCTGTAAGCCTCAGCAAGCCTGGCAGAACCAGCCTCAGCGAATCGGGAGGACCTCAGCAATTCGCAGCGGTGGGACTGATGTTCTCAAAGGCCTTGAAGACCCCAGCACCTACTTAAGGCCCAAACTTCCTCCAGTTTTCCCTGGGATTACACACCTAAATTCTGTGGTGGTTTGGATTTAAGCCGCAGGGTCACCTTTTGGTTCCCATCGACCCCACAGTGCTGGGTGTCCTCTCCCTGAGCGCCCTGAGCGTGACAACTTTCACTTAGATTAGTCCCCTTAATCCTCTTTGCAGCTTGGCACAGACAAAGCAAGGAGGAAACCCAGCACACCTCAAAGCCCGCAGATGGATTAATTACCACACACACAGACAAATTTTACTGCAACAAAACCGACTGTTCTGTCACGAGAGGGGAAAAAGGGAGTGAAGTGACGTGTTGGCAGCGTTTTAGTTCAGGCAGAGGCTCACACTCGTGCCACCATCAACCCTCTGGCACTGGGACCTCATAGCAACTGGGCTCTATCACACAAAGCCAGCGCTGCTATAAATACCAGCACACACAAATTCTAGCTGCCTGCCTTGCGTGAAGGTAAACAGGAGACCTGAAACCTTTAAGCGTGATTTTTATAGCACCGCCCAGTAAGTTATTCTGAGAGGTTTCTAAGTAGCCAAGTACCAGGGGCGATAATTTTTTCCCCACCTGCGAGATCTTGCAGGCACATACACAGGAGGGGATAACTCTCATGGGTAACAAAAACCCCCATTAGAGGCCCCTGCGAAAAGGTTTAAATAAAGAATGTAACCAAAAATGCCGCTGTTTGGGAAAATGAGTTAGCCTGATTCACGGGGAAGATTTAACAAATGGTTTCCATGTAACTCCTGATCATTCTTAGAACTTATTCAGCAGTGCATCACAGCCTGTGAAGCAGCATCAAATCATAAACATTTTGAAAATAAAGTATATTTTACTGCTTCTCTTGACTTTGCTCCCTTTTCCCTAAATCACAAAGTTCACTATTGCACAAGATGCCTCCACTGATAATTAATAAAGCTCATTCACAAGAATCAAAGGTGTCCTTGTTATCTTGACCACAGATTCAAAGTTTCTCTGCGTTTATGAGGGCAGAGTGTGGAAATCTCATCTGATTTCCTTTCTCCTTCACTTTTTTAAACTCCATTTTATATCTTTATTCTCCCAGGAACAGCACAGCGTGTGCGCTGCAGGGTGTGGCTGACGCAGGGCAGCAATTTACTCCCTGCTGAACTGCGAAACAACCTGGACCTTCATCAGGTTGTTCACCCTTTGAACACCTCCATCTCTCTGCAGGCAAAGATATCACCAGCTCTTGCACCTCCTCTGTGCATGTGAAACCAGATGTAAATCACTCTGGCTGATGAACCACTCCCGGCTAACCCACAGCTGCCTCGTGGCTTCGACTAAAAGCATTCCCCCGCAAAAAAAGGGGGAAAAGTCAGAAAGAGAAAGCCTTTACGCAGCGCCAAGGAAGCCACTCGGCCTCTCTGGGGTTTGTTTTCCGTGGTTAGGGCAGAGCTGTGCGCTGCAAATCGTGAGCATGATTTGAAATGGCACCCCCTGAGGACCTCGGAGACGTCCCATCAAACCGCTGCTTTTCCAGCTCAGCAGAGGTCGTGGCTCTTGTTCTCCCTTAAATGGCATTAATCCTACGGCAAAAACACCGGGGCAGCTCCCTTCCTCCCTCCACCCACCACCCCAGCAGCTCACGAGCCCCGAGCAGAACAGCTGCTCCGCGTTAAAACGCGGTTCAGTGCCACCCACCACCTCTCGGCGCTCACGGCACCTCTCCAGGCAGGCGATAAAAGCTGGTTACAGATTAAACAGTTCCACCTTTCCACACTCAACTCCTTTTGAGAGCATGCAGATCTCAGGGGGGGGGCTGCTAAAAAAGCTGCAGGTGCGTGGCCACGCGACCTCCATCCAGCAATCCCTCCCACCTCCAAACACAAAACTGGTGGTGGGACTTTCGGGCTCTGTGTGTGTGTGTGTGTTTCTGTCAGTTTCCTGCCTTCTTGGACCTTTCTTTCCCGGCTGATCAGAAGCTGCCAGGAGTGTTTCAGCCACAAAGACAGCCACTGTGTGCATTTGCATCCCCACGTCCTGTTCATCCCCGTTTCCCCAGGAAGGCACATGGGCACCTGTGTGTTCTGCACCCTGGCTGCTGGACCCAGCTGACACAGCCCGAACCTAAAAAAGCATTAAAATAAATCAAACGTGTCAAAAACCAGGGGCAGCGGAAGGGGAAGAGAACATCTTGCTTTTAGATCTTCCAAGTTCACACAATCTCTTCTTCGCATCCTCTTGCCCTATCCCATTTATTTTGTCCAAACAGCTTTGACTTTGGGTTGAGGGAGCTTTTTTTTGTTGTTCGTTTGTCTTTTATTTCAAACTGGAAACGCTTCCCAGAAGCCAGTGAGGTCATGTACAGGTTTGTTAAGGAAAACGATTCTTTATACCAAGGTAAATCTATCACAGTTTCTGGAAGTATTCGGTAAGGCATGGATGAAAATAAATCGGGCTGAAAAACCTGGGAATGAACACAGACAATAATCTAACTGTTAATAATTTAACTGTTAATAATTTAAAAGCTAAGCAAAATGCAACATGTGAGAAGATGACCACCCGTAAGGAAGGTGGACACTAGGAAAATTCCTCAGGATCAGTCTGGGATTAATTTACCACCTGCGAGCCTCTCCTTTAAAATTTATTGTGCGTTTCCACGCGTGTGTGCTCAGGCACATGCACACATACAGATACACGTGGATGTGCGTGTTTGATGTGTTTAATGACCTAAAGATACCTGCTGAAGCTAAAAGTTTGAGAGGCATTGTCAGTACGGGAGAACAATGATTAACGAATTCAATAACGGGGGGAAGGGACAGCACCGAAGTCAGGGGTCACGTACCCATAAATCGTCTGTTCCGTGCTGCAAGAAGAAATGCTGGCCCATCTGAAGCATCACCACGATACAATAAAAATTTAATTGCCAGCACTAAACCAGTGAGGTTGTCCTAGCAGCATTCTGAATGCCCAACAAGCTCAAAGTGCTGCCTTGGCACTGCGGAGATCTCCAGCAGAACAGAAGGTCCCGGAGGCAATTAACTGTAATCTGAACCCCTGCCAGGGAGCAGAAATCAAACATCATGGAAGACTGTAAAGCAGACATGGATGCCAGCGAGAGTTACAGTAGATTCTGCAATTGTCTGGCTGCAGCAGTGACTGGCAGGAGCTCGTGGCCCCTTCTGAGCCACCCCGACAACAAACCGGCCTTCCAACACACAGCCCAGCCCGGCTGATGGAGCAAAAGGCAGGCAAGGATGGGCAAGAAAAGTCAAAAAGAATGAGGAAAGCCTAGTCCAGTGGCAAAGGACAGGAGCAGATTAATCTGCACAAGGGGAAGGGCTGCTCCACCCTGCAGCCCTTTGTTTTAGGGCCCACGTGTATCGGGGGAGACCAAGTGTCCTGTGGAGCTGACAGAGCACTGTAAAAATGAAACACGGGCAGATAAAACACGAGCCATTAAATGATGATCTCAACAAGCTGCCAGCAAGAGATAAAACCCTTTATCTGTGTCTGCATGTAGATTATATATATATATACATATATACACTCACGTGAGGCACTGTGGGCAAGAATAGCACAAGGGGTAAAGTACCTGCTGTGTTTAATAAATCATTTATTTCTCTGCTGAATATCCAAAATGCATTTCTGTACAGATACTGCATCCTGCATCAAGCAGCATCACTTAACGAGCTTACAGGTCCATTCCAGCAGGCATCAGCAGTAATGACAGACTGATGCAACACAGCCAAACTAATGCAGAATGGATTTTCCCTCCCACAAGTATAAATTCTTGGAGACGACAAAAGAGTTTCAAAAATCAATTGTTATCAACAAGAAGCTCTCTGTTCTTCCCTCCTCCCCCACCAAAAAAAAAAAAAAATTAAAAAAAAAATATATTGCATTGCGTTCAGTCCACCAGAGAATTCCAGGGTCAAAAAAAATTAAAAAATAGAAGGATATTTTCACTAGAAAACCAGTAAGAAATGACCTATTGTTCTTGTTTCTGAACACTGTTGCATAATCATCATTTGGAAAAGCTTACAGGGGTTGAAGTAATTTCCACTGGCATGTCAAAAGTGTTTATAGCTCGGAAAGTCTCGAGATAATCTGATCTCGACAAATCACAACAATCTACTGTTTTCTCCTTCCCTGACACAGCAATCCCAATTTCACTTCTCCAGTCAGCCAGCCTCCAGCTTCCAGAGCTCTGCCTCTCTCTCTTCAGGCAACCTGGATTCGTGCAGTATTGAGGCTGCACTCTACTGTCCCCGGGGAAAAAAGGGAAGGGGGAAAAAGAGAGAAGGGGGGGAAAGAGAGAAAGGGAGGAAGGTTTTGCTGTGCAGAGGAAAGAGTCTGGCTTCTACAGCTCCATTGCTCAGGAAATGCCCTCTGAGAGGCAGGTGGATTTGACACCTCTCCTGACCACTTTAGACACCTTGGATCAGCCACCAAAACCACCTGATTTCTTACCACTTTTAATTTTTGCACATTGATAAGTTTCAAGGTTCCCGAAGGCCAGGAAAAAAAAAAAGGAGATTGGAGATGGGCTTGTGGGAACAGGAGCATTTTTGTGAAGGGAAAAAAAACCCCAAAAGCTGCTTTCTTAGAAGTTCATCCCAATGCATGGAACTAACATGATATCTCTGCCTCCCAGTTAGCTCCATTCAAGGTTTATTTTTAGATGCTCAGTCAGACTCTGCACAGGGATGTTCCTTAGTAATACAGCTCAGTCCTAACCCCCCAGTCTTCCGGGAAAAAGCCAGGACTAGGGGAGACAGGCTAACACTTCCTATCACCACCAAGACTGAGTTCAGCACTAACTTCCACGAACTATGAAGTAAGACTCCCTGTCAGATAAAGCTTGACTTCAATTCAACCAGGCCGAAGAAACAAGCCAGTAATCAGCAAGCACCAGGTGGCACAGGGAAGCGGGAGTGCTGACTGCATTAAGACAAAGCACACCAGGGGAAGCACAGGCTGGCAGAAGCAGAAGTGTCACCTTGTACTGCAGGTGCCCAGGCAGTAAACTCGAAATGATCACTGACTCCTCCATCCTCCGCACCTCTCCTTTTTTTTTTATGTCCCAGAGCTCTAACCCCGGGACAAGGTCCGTGGGGCTACGAGCAGATGAAAGATAAGACACTGGAAAACGGCAGGCTACCAAAACCGACCTTGTTTGTCCGTGGGTTCAGCATCAGTGGCTTCCCCTTCTCCTTCATGTGGATGCCGCGGCGCGCCATCGCGCACGGGGCGGCGGCTGCTCTCAGTCGGGAGAACATCTCCTGCTCCTGTGCTGCACCTGGGGGGGGGAGAGAGGGAAACAGAACCGCTCAGAAATCACACACACAGGCAGCAGGAGGCCCCATCTGTCGTGAAAGAAACAGGCACGTGCTAAACAAGACCCTTCGACGGCGCGGAAATAACAACCGAAAATCGCCCCCCCCCCCCCCGGGAGGTTTTGGGAAGGTGAGGGCACAGGGGAGAGGGGAGAGAGCATACGGGGATACTGATGGGAGCCAGCACGGTGTTGTGGGCAGCAGTCAGGCACTCAGCACTCGCTGGGTGTTGCCTTACACCATAAACCCGGGGGCAGAACTATTAACCGTCCGCGGTGACCCGTGGGGCTGGCACCGCTGCAAATGCCAGGGAGGACACAACGACTCGGGCGAGGGCGGCCCGAAAACTCGGGCTGAGAGGTTCCCTGGCAGCTTCCTAACAACGAGATCTCACGGCCTGGACAACAGGAAGGAAAGAAACTACGCCTGTTAGCGTATTAAGGCTGGATTAGGACGAAACGCAGAATTAAAACGGCCAAAAGAACACCACTGAGCTCCGGGTTCCAGGCTTAGGCTTTTACAATTCCAAACATAAAAAAAAAAAAAAAAAGGTTGTTTTCAGGGAGAATGTATCCCTTTCAATAAAGGGAATGTCTCCCTAACAAAGTAAAAAAATCTGTCAGAACCACTCAAAAGCTTAGTTCTAGTCTTGCCAGGTTACGGCAACTCTTGAACCCACTTTATCCACCCATTAACTGCAAACTCTTTGGAGCAGAAATTACCACTTAGTACATGCTTTTATAACTCAGGTAACGTGAACTGGACCCATCTCTCAAAGGTTATTTCGCCAAGACAGAGGGACAACAGCAACCACAGGACCGTGGTCTGCACAAAGACATTAAGAGGCCAGAAAGGACAGCAAAGAACCAGGATCAGGGAACCTCTCCAGGGCAGCTGGTGCCCCCTCCAAGACTCAGGCAGAGGACAGTAAAGCAGGTTATGAGACATTTTTTAAGGAATGAAATGATGCATGGTTTGGATTTTTAATTTCTTCCAGATGGGAGACAAAATTGGATTAAGGAACAAAACTTCATTATCTCAAATGCAGCCTGAATACTTTAGAAGACCTTCCTATAATCAAATTTACACATAATCAGCTTTTAAGAGGGCAGACTGGTCTTGCAAGTTACAGTCTGAGGGTTTTCTTAGAAATCTTTCCAAGCATTAAAAAAATATGCAAACATTTAATACTTCTCATCATCAGTTACGACCGAGTTTCTCTTCTACCCATTACCAGAGAAGCAGCTCTGACATTCAGAAGAAACCCTTTCTCTCATCCTGTGCTTGTTTTGTTTAGGCTGTGCCCAAAACCTGCGTGTTCAGTTGTTTTGTGGCAAAGACCACAAATTTACTGTGCCCTGCCAGCACTACAAACAACTGCTGCCTTTCATGTGGTCCTTCCTCCCCAAACCAGCCAGCGGTGGACCAAGCACAGCTGGTCTGCCGGGACTCAGGGCAGCTGAAAATCGGGATCAGATAAGGGGAAAATTAATTCTGTTGCTGCAAAACAAGCGGCCTTTAGGAACGACAAATTCGGTTTTAGCCGGTTTTAGTCCCGGTTGCTCATTTGCCATCGTTACACAGTCGTGGGTCCACCTCCTTCTGCGCATGGTCTGTGATTCCAGAGCCACAGCAAACCCCATCCCACAATCCCATCAGCCTGGTGCCAGGGTGGCTTCGATCAATGAGCAGATACCTTAAACAAGGAATTAAAAAGCAGGACAAACACCGCACCTTATCTTACTCCAATTAAATCTAAATCACTTCACTGCAATTAACGAGCATTTAAGAACCAAACAAGATTGTGGCCCAGATTTCTCCTACCTTGACCAATTAACTCTCTAATCAACGAGACAGAGAGGAAAAGACTTCAGGGGTGTGATACAAATCTTCCTTTCTTCTCTGCTGTCTGAGAGAGGAGACTGGATCCTTCCTGAGGTGTCACATCACCTAAAATGATTCTCTTGGTGGAGGTATCTCAGATACATAGAGCAAGTGGGAGAATCAAGTTTCATTTTCCACTTAGCCCCTCTGTTTAGATCCAAGAGATATGATCCCAGTTGATTCATATCCAGCACTAAACCTGACTGGTTATTCTCCTTCCCTGGCTCTTCTAATCATTCCGTGTTTCTGTTTCATCTCCCACCTTGCACATCTCCTCCAACTCCTTCTGTCAAAGGCTTTCAAAACTGTTTTCGCAAGAACCTGCCTCCAAAACTCACCCTGAAACCAGAAGCAAGCAATCCTTCCCCATCCTCTGTCCATGCTCCTGTGTAGGAGTCCCAGGAGCTCTGCATGCACGACCATGGCCCTCCCTGACACTTCCAGGGATCCAGGGGCAGCTTCTATGGGAAACCCGTGCCGGGGCCTCACCACCCTCACAGCCAGGAATTCCTTCCCAATTTCCCATCTAACCCTGCCCTCTGGCAGTGGGAAGCCATTCCCCCTGTCCTGTCCCTCCATCCCTTGTCCCAAGTCCCTCTCCAGCTCTCCTGGAGCCCCTTCAGGCCCTGGAAGGGGCTCTCAGGTCTCCCTGGAGCCTTCTCTTCTCCAGGTGAACATTCCCAGCTGTCCCAGCCTGGCTCCAGAGCAGAGGGGCTCCAGCCCTTGGAGCATCTCCGTGGGGGAAGGACCTCGACTGAGGGAAACAGAGGGGTTGAAATGATGTGAAAACACACACAGAGGAACGAGGTTGTGCAATGTCCTGCGAGGAGGAATCAGGAGGAAAGCAGCGGAATCGAAAGGGGAATGAAATTCCTCCACAAAGATGTGTCAGCACAACCAGGGCAAGGACCTCTCTTCTCCCTCCAGCACTTGGCAAGGCTGAGGACTAAACAAGACCGTGGTGCACCTCTAGACTGAATCCACTACAACTGGTTATTTCTGACTTACTACTAAGTACACGCTGCGCCACAATTTAAGGGAAATAAATCCCTCAGCATATCAGATCACAGCTCTCTGCTGTGCCTTATCAGGAGGCATCTGCCCCGGGTCAGACTAATTACCAATATGCACAAGTGCCCTTATCTGGGGAGCAAACGTTTTGCTGGTGCAATTATAGATTCGTTAAGGGAATTTTAAGGGAAAGGTTCACCATGTTCTTAAGAGGTCCAATTACGCTGCTCCCAGAGTCAGGAAGCCCAAGTGTCAATTAAAGCAAGGTCTGCTTCAATTACTGCACGGGCTGCCTGACCTGTGGATCCTACCTGACTGCTCAGGGTGTCCCTCAGTGGACAGCAACCTGTGCTGGGTGACTGTGCAGCCTTCCTTCAGTCTGAAGGGCGGGCGAGCACAAATGCGGTTCAAGCGCTCCTGAAACCCCGTGTCAATAAAGAGTTCCAGCCCTCCTTTCATGTACAGAAATTAACAAGGCCCCTGTGCCACCAGGAGCTTTTTTTTTTCTTCCTGAAACTACCAACTCAAGGCTACAGAGGCCCCACAGGGTTTCCAATCCTTCAGGCCTCCACTGCTGCAGGTTTTTTAAGACATTTTCTCTTAGGTACCCACAGCAGCCCATCCAGTGAGTCTGGTGTGGATGCACCACTGCACTCTACTGTCTTTTTTTTTTTAATAAACAGACAAGCCTTGCCTGCCCAAGCATGACACAAACCAGGCACACACTAGCTGGCTTCATCACCTCAGCAGTGATAAAGCAGTCTAAAATTATCACATTAGGCAAGCACCAACTATAAACCTGTCTCCCCAAGGGAACTTTTACTCCAAGCAGCCTTTCCTGCACCCACCACCCTGCAGTGGGTCAAGGGGACACCTCTGTTTTGCAGCAGGAGCATCCCAGGAGGAAGGGGCAGAGGGACAAGGATGGGGATGTGGTTCTGTGCAGCAGCTCAGCACCTCTGGCTCCCTGAGCTGACCAGATGCTGCTGCTGTTGAGGGAAGTTTTCAGGTTCTCTTCAGCAAAGTCCTGAGCAACCACCTTAAAGGACGTTTCTAAGGCACCTTGAGATCTGCAGATTAAAAGGAACAGTCATATGGGGAGGAGACACTAATAAACTGTTCAGCAGCAGTAAGTGGGTTATTTTGGAAGCAGATCTTTAACAAACTCAAATTGCTTTTCTTCCCTTTTGTCCTGAAGGCAACCAGTTCAACTAGGAGAAAGAGTCAGATGTAGAGCACTTAAGTAGAATAATCAAGTTCACAACTTGAGGCTTGAAACAATTCAGCAAATAAAGCCCACTTAGGTGAATTCAAACGAAAATAATTTCAGAACACCTTTCTAAAAAGAGTATATGTGAATCACTTAACTCACAATGTCAGAAAACCCCTTAACACAAACAGAAAGTAGGGCTGAATTATTTATTATTCATGCCTTGGTTCATAACAGAACCAAACCACATCAAAGAGCTATATTTTTATACATTAATGGACCTGACCTAAATATTCTGGTTCTTAAGAATCATGAAGTCCATTGTCTTTCACTGTGGAAACTGCAGCAGCAGCATTTTTGGCCCAGTCTGACAAGCAGATGTATTCAAATTCTTGACTTTATTCCATTTGTGTAACTGGGAGGGCTACTGGTAGTAAAGGTAAGGACATCAACATATGCAGGACAAAGGCCTTATCCTGGAAAACCCTCAAAAATACTGCAGGAATAAACAGAAAGCTACTGATGCTTTATTCTGGAGAACTGGTGCATCTCTGTGTTAGAGCTGTTCAGCTCAGAAACACAGATTTTTTTTTTTTTTTTGGATACAAGCTGAGAGAGATGGACAAGGATGTTCCCAACAACAGCTGCACTTACAAAAGGGAATTCTTCCTGGAAGAACAACCGAGCAACAAGCACAAAGAAACCGAGCTGCTTGCTAATTCAGGGACAATCTGGCGAACCATCAGCCTGCCAACCACCTAGAAATGTCAGTGTGCACTAGTCGGGACTTAAAAAAAGAAAAACCCTGCTTAAATTACAGAGAAACCTGAATAACTATCCGGCAACAGCAAAACTGCTCCTTCTGCTGCAGCGGAGGTGCTGGCACCGCTAGTAAAGATGAAAATTCAATTAGTACTCACTCAAGCCCGGCACACTACCACGCACTTTGACAGCTTCTCCCTTGGTTTGCAGGAGGAAAAAAGCTCCAAACCTCGCCTGCACTCACGTTGCTGGCTCACAAGGCTTATCAGAAGTTTTGTCCTGCGACTGCGACGCGCAAATTCTCTTTTAAAACACGAGCCCGGGCTGAATTTTTTTTTGCAGATCGTATCACGTCTAAATAGCACATTAGACACCGCTGGGTGCACACACAGAGACACACAGACATACACACGGGGCACTTGCAGAGCTCCATGTGCTGCCCAGCACCTTCCACTTGCCCGCATGGAAATGCTGTTCGGTACTTAGTGGAATTAAGGGCACAAAATAATCAATATCAGGTGATAATAATCAATATCAGGGGACGCTAAATAACCAATATTTAGTGGGTTTGGTTGGTTGGTTGGTTGCGAGAGGGTCCTTTTTCCGTCGGCCCTTTATCAGTAAGTTTTTTTTTGTTGTTTGGGGTTCTCTTTCCTGTTGGTTAAGGCATCCTTGCCACGACACCACACCCCGGGTGCCTCGTACTCATCAGCAGCTTTTTTTAACGTTTCGGCGCAGCGAGGCCACGAGGTACCAGCATGTCCAGCCACCGCCGCCTCTTTGTCAAAGAGCAGCCGAGGAGAGGCCAAACCCAAACACCGGCTCTGAAAATACCAGGCGACGGCGTTTCCTCCTCCTCCTCCCCCTCCTCCTCCTCCCAGGCCGCAGCAGCTGCTCTGCCCCTGCCCAACTTTCGCTTGTCCAGGGGCCACGGGGAGGTCAGGGCGGGCCGGGGACACGCCGTGACCGCCCCCCCCCGGCCCGGGGCAGCCCCCCCGGCGGCTCGGTTCTGGTTTTGTCACCGCTCTGACAGGGGTAAAACACGGCCCCGCACCTGCTGCCGGGCCCAGGGCTGCCCCCCGCCGCAGGCCGAGCCTCGGCGCCTCGCACCCGCCGTGCTGCTGCTGCCTCGGCACGACCCTCGCGGGCCCCGGTGTGTGTGTGGGGGACACACGGAGCATCCCGGGCGGGTCCATCCCCTCCCCGCGCCCGGGCGGCCTCCAAGCGCCTCAGGACGCCCTTAAGACACGGGTTTGTTAAGGACACAGAGGCCTGCGGTGCGCCGCCGCCGCAGCCGTGAAATTGTTTACCAGAACGGGATCTACCTCGTCCTCCTGCGGCTGCTGCCCGCTGAGCGATGCCGGCCGGCGACCTGTTCCTATCGAGAACAGCCGGAGCTGCGCCCGCCGCGGAACCCGCCACTGAATGGAGCTCACACGGAGGCGCCGCGGAGGGACACTCCGGGGGGCGGGTCTTACTCGTGACTGACAAGGAGTATAGCCAATCGGAAGGAAGGAAGCTCGCCGGCAGAGGCGGCGCTCAACCAATGAACGCTCTTTCCCGCCCCCACGGGGGGAAACGGGGCCAGGCGCGGGGGCGTGGCCTGACGTATGTTAATGAGGTAAGGGACGACAGCGAATCAGTGCAGAGGGGCGGGGCGAGCAGGGGCGAGGGGCGGGGCTTCGGGAGGGGAAAGGGCGGGGAGGGGGTGGGGGAGGGGATGGGAATTGTGAGGGGATGGGAAT